CATTATAAAAAGTTATTTAGTTTACCCTTACCCACTCCTACTTGCTTTAGGTCGCTTTCTTAGTTTAGCAATAAGAGCCAAATAAGCCTATAATTGGGAAGAGTCTCTGTATACAGAGGTTTTTACTAAACAAAAAGTAATTACAGTTCCAAATTAAACAAAAAATTCCAAAGAGAAGAAAGATAATCCTACAGGTGAAACTCGAATAATTAGAATATCGTGCAAAGTTCATTTATTTCACTAATGCAACTTAAAAGGAGAAACTAACATATGAGATAGACTCATTACATGCAAAGCAATATAATTCAAGCCGTGATTTGTCATAATTGTGATGATTATGGCTTACAGCTCATGAAAACCCCAAGAACCCCAAATCCACAACCTCAAAAAAGTAGATTATTACATGCAATCAATAAAACAAGGATTGTACATAGAACAATATCGAACCTCTGAAAAGTACAAGCATGCATATGTACTCAGTACTTGGTTTGGGCCCCTTTTGCAGCAATTACTGCCATTACTTTTGCACGATATTCTAATTATTCGAGTTTCACCTGTATATCTCTTGTACAATCAATGCTTGTGTCTGAGTAGAAAGAAGTATAGATATTGTGATGTACGAAGGGAGTAAACTAAAGTAAAGTGGGAAAGGGCCAACAATTGAAAATCCTGGTGACTGAAGAATACAACCAATACAATATTGCAATGGGCAATATCTGTTGTATTGGCCAGAAACTGGGAACGTGCACATGCTCTGTTTATCGACGACATACATCCGTGTTGTCTTGTGTACATAGGGCATTTTCTTCTTTTTCCAACTTTACAAGCTGTAATATAACAACTGCAGTTTAAATCAAAATCTTTCTTGTGCTCTCTGTAGGTATCAAACTGGTTCGGAAATAAGCGAATCCGCTACAAGAAGAACATAGGTAAATTCCAAGAGGAAGCCAATATTTATGCTGCCAAAACAGCTGTGACTGCTACCAATGTGTCAGTTCACGGAAGTCAAGCCAATTCGCCCTCAACTCCCAGTTCTGCTGGTTAGTTTGTTTTTTTGTTTTGTTTTGTTTCCTGCAGTTTTATTATTTTTTATCTCCAGTGTTTCCTTACTATGCTCTCTTTGTCCATTTTTTTTCTACGTCCATGCTTTCATACGTTTGCTGCCTCTCCTACTTTTTCATTGTCTTCTGCGTCCCTCTATCCCCTTCATTCTTTTCTTTTTTTCCTTTCTGTTTATTTTTTTTTTTTTTTAGTTTTTTTTATTTTTTATTTGCATTCCCCGGCTTGTCCCAATTATCCCCCCGTTGTGTCTTTTTTCAGAAATGACCTCAATGTTTGGTGTGGTTTTTTTGTTTTTGTTTTTTCAATCCATTTTTATTCCAGTAATATTGGGGTTTGAGTTATTAAAGCCTCCCAATTTGGCCCTCAGCAGCTTCCATTTTGTAAAAAACGTAACGGGTGATATGTATGTCACACATTATTGCAGCCCTGTGTTAAGTGTTTAATTGCTGACCTTTATAAAGTGTGCCTGTGAGGACACATTTTGAGTTTGAGGAAATACTGAACCAAAAACCACCTAGCTAATGTCTTGATAACTGGTATGACAATACTAGCGCTATTGAGCTTGAGTATCTAATATTGTTACCATATTAAGATTCAGTCTCCAAAGACAAGTCTTCCTAAACTGAAATCTCCATATGGACACCAGCAATGCACTTCCGGAGTGTTCACATATAGTCTGACAGTGATGGGTAACACAACAAACTGTGCAAATGGAACCAAAGTATTTGTTCCTCCACTTATATTTCTTTCATGCGGATGGCGAAGAGCTCTACTACAGCGTTGGGCTGCAACCAAATGCTACAGTAAAAGCCAGTGGAGGGCAATGTGAGGAGCTTCGGTATATGAGAAATGTTGACTTTTGTTGGTTTTAGGAATGATGATCCATAGCTTCACATTAAGGCTTATTATGCTGATAATGTAATAAATCCTCGGCTCTTGAGGTTTACTGGTTTTACTTAATTTATTTACACACTTTTACTTTTGCTGCATTTAAGGTAAAGCTGAACTCCAGCCAAATGGCTAAGTGCACCATTCAGATAGAAATGTGGGGGCTGTTTTTACTGGGGATGCACCGATACCAAGTACTGTACTCGGTACAAGTACATGTACAGATACTTTTCCAGCTCCAAGACTAGACAAAAATTCAAAAGTTATACAGCTGCCATTTTTAGGAGCACACGGAGCTCCAGGGATTTGTGAATCCCTGTTTTAATGTATGATTTTGTTTTTATAAATATAAATAAAGGGATGCACCGATACCATCTTTGCAAGTACAAGTGCTGATGCTTGCCCAAGTACTGATGCTTGCCCAAGTACTTACAGATGCTTGCCCAAGTACTTACAGATGCTTGCCCAAGTACTTACAGATGCTTGCCCAAGTACTTACAGATACATTTTTGTTTATTGTCATGTGACCGTTTTTCTAAAACAATATTTACTAATGATTTCAGGACAGTGGTGGAGCGCCAGAGCCAAGTCCCAGCTGCAACCGTTGCAACCCTGGTAGTTCTCATGAAAATGCTAAGTATCGGCACTGGTACTCAAAGTATCTGTGCATCCCTTGTTTTTACCTTCCAAAGGTTTTGTAATTTTTTCCGCCCATTCATGAGAAATACACAGATCTGGCAGAAAACAGCCAAATTGGTGACCTGAATAATCTCTACTGCAGTTAAGCAGTACAGCCTGGTCACCTTCTTGCCCGGAGTCTGTGATTGGATGATAGAGCAGCAGCAGACTGATGAGATCATAACTTTCCTACTGTGAACATCCTTTTTTTTTAATACCGTACAAGTAGAGGGGGATTACAGAGGCTGATATTAGAACACATTTAAGTACTTAATTAAAAAAATTGTTTGTTAATTAATTCATAGCTGCATTAAATGTCTTTTATATCCGTCCGTAATCCAGCTTTTAAGAAACGGATTTCAATACTGCAAAAATAAAATACTATTTATTATATTTAAAGGGTACTTTAAGAGGAGATGAACTGTGCAATTTCGTAAAAGTGAAGTACAAATCACTGGCACCTCGCCAGAAGGACCGTGCACGGCCTCAGAGCGTTGGATTATTTATGCCGTGAAAATAAAATGATGACAACTCGATGCAACACCTGGAATGCTAACCGTTTCTTTGCAAACACACAGGCATTTGCTGAGACAATATAAAATGTGTTTTCCCACCTTTATTGAGGAAAACTGCATGTTTTTTTTTTTTTTGTGAACAGCAGTTGCAATTTTTATTACACATTTAACTAAATGTACAAACTATAAGACTTGTTAGACTTCTGCTGTCACTGAAAGAGTTGGGAAGCTACCGCTGAAGGTGACATCTCCAAAATTCCTATAGTTGGATCTCCACCGAATTGTCCTAAACTCCATCTGAATGATCTGTGTAATTTAATGCCGTAGGCTGCACAATAATTAGATCTCTGTAGTTGATCACTTGTTGATGTCATCATTAAGTCATTTGGCTAATGAAATCTCCAGGAATTGATTCAGGGATTGTTGGCAACTCTCCAGTAAAGAGATTAAGGATGAAGCAATGGGGAATTGTGTATAGCAGGGATAGAGGTTATGGATGATGGGCGACGAGGGAGAGAAGCAGGTTTGACGATCTGGGCTCTGGGGGGGGGGGGGAGAAGCATATACAGATATAGCACAGGAATGATTGTGTGACTATCATTAGATTTAGATTATATAGCTGAACAGAGAAGTCACTTTTTTCCTTGTAAAATGCTTAAAGAGCATATTCCATTGTGCTTTATTATTGAGGGGTGTTGCATCGTTTTTTCGGTCAAAAACCTTGGCGGTTTGCAGCTTGCTTTGGTGCCCTCCGTCATCTTTTTGCGGGTTTACAAAATGCTCCCCCAATACATTTGTTTTTTGTATTTTTGTTATGCTTTAGTTCAACTAACAACTAAATTGCAATCTGCCCAGAGTTTTAGGCTGGCCAAACACTGATCGTGTAACACTCGATTCCCCCATCCATGATAAACAGACAGGCTATTGTATTCTGACAGTACACCAAACAGTGAATGCAGCTAATGGGCTGCGGTCACTGTACGGCTGAGAATTTTCAGACCAGCTCTTTCGTCCGAAAAATCATCTGTTATCGTGCGGAAGGGTGCTACACACCACACGCTCAAATTTCAGGTGAGCCCACCCCAGAGCACATAAACCTCCATTAGCTCATTACACTCCAGTCTCTTTAGACTCAACCCCTTATTCCTGACAATTAACCACCCCTAGGGCCCATTTGCACTACATCCAGATTACCTCCAGACAAGACTGTTTTGTCCTATTTTGTCTGGTCTGGAATGCACTGGAACGCATAAAAAAATTAATGGAACGCACTGAAACACACCTGTAAAACCATTTTAAGCTAAAAAAAAATTATATATACATATTCTTAACAAGCCCACATTGACCTCTGTAGCTGCTGCACTCTGGAAGAATTCACCCTTGAAAGTCACATCTGAAGTTTTTTTACTTTCACCTATGTAGTTTGAATCCCCCTCCCTGCGGTGACTTGCCAGACATTTTCTCTATGATGTAAACAAGGAACACGTTTGCAGGAAAAGGAAAGTGAAGGAAAAGTTCTGAGACCAGACTTTTGTATGCTTCTGTTGTGACCTCTGAGGATGAACTTCGTGTCAGAGATCAGTGAGGGCTTGTTTTTAAATGTTATTTTGCTTGTTAAGATTATGTAAATATTTCAACGTACACTGAATGCCGAACTTTATACTAACCTAGCCTTAACGCTGACCCCTACACTGTTGAATATTCTTCTTCTCATTCTTAAAGTGACATTAAAGTCACATCTCCCCCCCCCCCCCATGCTGCTTTAAGGACTTGCCTTAAATGATGGTTCTTGATCCGATCATCATCTTCTTCCCAGTAGTTTTCAGGAGTCCCTCCAGTGCTGGTGCTGACTGCAGTGTCTTCAGTATCGCACGGTGTCTGTGCACGCTGCTGGGCTGCGTGCATCGACTTACCCTGTGTCTCCTCTTTTCCCGGCCGAAGATCTCTACTGCGCATGTGCTCGCCCCATGATCCTTCACAGCCGCCTTAAGAATGTTCAGATCTTCGGACGGGAGCGAGTGGCAGAGACACAGGTAAGTAATAACCTGTTTGGTAACTTTATTTTTTTAAATGTTTTGCATATGTCTACTGCTCGATAGCAGTAAATATTTGCAAAAAAAGACGGTTAAATTCTACTTTAAGCTTTTATCAGGAAAAGTGACTCTTTGAAGGAATGTGTGTATTGGGTTCCCTGATTCTCTAGTTTAAGGATAAATGCACCTTCTGTGCAGAGCTTTAGCTGTCATTGTCTTTGTAGGTGGCACAAAACCAAAATGAACCTCTGTACCTTTTATTAAAGAGACCAGTAAGGTACCCTTTGGAGCCTGAATGAGAGAAGTGTGTGGGCTGCCATTGCTGAGCATGTTCTAAAAATGCTACTTGTATTGCCATTACATTGAGGTATACTATTTTTAAAGAAGAACTCAAGGCAAAAGTTTGGGTTAACTGCCCGTTTTGGTCTAGGGAGAAAAATAGGAAGGGTATACTTGCCCGATCTTCCAAGCCAGCCAGAGGACAGCTCTGAGCTAATATTCATTCCTGTTTCAGGTCGGTGACAGGAAAATAAGTAATTGGATCAGCATGACAGCCATGTTATATAACTAAAAGCTTAAGTGTAGGCATACCCACTAAACTGCCATGGCCTCCCAAAACCATCTTTATGCTGATGACACCCAAATCTCTCTCTCGACGACTCAGCTCACCCCCTCTGTCTCTTCACGTATCACTAACCTACTCATTGACATATCTGCATGGATGTCACTCCACTTCCTCAAACTCAATCAGTCCAAAACTCAGTTTCTAATATATGCTCCTCTCCTCCGTGTTCCCTCCTCCAACTTCTCCATCACACTCAACAACACTGCAATCGACCCCGTCCCATCAAGCCAGGGTGCTCAGTGTAGTCCTTGATTCTGAGCTCTCCTTTCAGCCCCACATCTCATCACTATCTAAAGCTAGCCGACTCAACCTCTTTAACATATCTAAAGCTCAACGCTTTTTAAAAACCCCGCAAAGCTCCTGATTCACTCACTTGTAATCTCTCGACTACTGTAACTCCTTTCTTGCTGGCCTACCACTCAACAGGCCATCCCCCCCTCCCCTCATTCTCTCATTGATGATGCTGCCAGATTAATCCACCTTATCCACCGTTCAGTGTCTGCATTCAATCTCTCCACTGGCTCCCAATTGCCCAAAGAATAAAATTCAAAATACTATCAACATACAAAGCCATCTACAACTTTGTCCCCAACTACATCTTGAACCTTGTCTCAAAATATCACCCAAATCGTCCTTTCAAGACCTTCAGCTCTCTCGTCACCTCCAGGACTTCTCCAGAGTGTCTCCCACCCACTGGGAACTCCCTATCCCAATCTGTCCGCTTATCTCCTACTCTGTCCACCTTTTAGGCAATCCTTGAAAACTCATCTCTTCAGGGAAGCCTATGCTACCTCAACATAACTGCCCTTTTACTTCTTCCACAAACTCAATCTAAACATGTATTACCTTTTGTACCACTTGCCCCTCCTACTAGATTGTAAGCTCTCACGAGCAGGGCCCTCCTAACGCTATTGTACTGAGATTGTATTGTAACTGTACTGTCCTCCCCCCCCTATTTTGTAAAGTGCTGCACAAACTGTTGGCGCTATATAAATCATGTATAATAACAATAGTTTTGTGTATTTCTTCCAGATCTGTGCAGTAATGCAGTGTGAAACTTTATCTCTGTGTAGGAGTTTCCTGTATTACAGGCCAATCATTGCTGCCCTCTCTCCTTGTGCAGGGTGACTGGTCTTGTATCCACCCCCTCATGTAGTTTTCTGCAGGTAGCCTGTAGTGGGTGGCCTTTTGGGGTCCCTCCCTCAGCCAAGATATGTGCAGTATAGTGATGAAGCCACTGCTATGTTTACAAGCTAATATCTGGGATGGCAAAGGCGTTTGGTGCATACAAAGTGGATTTTTATCCTCTTTGGCTAATCCGGAATACATTTTAATGAAAGTGTTTGTGCCCGGAGTTCAGCTTTTAGTATTTCATACATGACCCTTATTTTGACAACTTTTTTTGTTATAACTGTTGACTTCGTATAATACAATACGCCTGTTTTCTTTACTGTAGATTCATAGGGATACATTTGGTATCACTGTGTTTAAGGTAGCTGCATATTTGCCTTCACTAGTGCTAAGCTTGTCTCATTTATTTTATATATTTGTTGTGCCATGTATCAAAGCTTCAGCCTCATTTTCTTATGTTACTACACTGTTGATTTCCTTGAATCAATCATTCTAAATACAAGCTATCATACTGCACTCATCCACCAATCACTCTCTTATTGTTAGGTGTCCCCTGTCTGATCTATCTCTTCCTCTGTATAAGCCAGGCAGCTCCTAGCATCTTTACACACAGGCATCCCAGAATTTGAGTGAGTTTGCTGGCACATTTCGTGCTTTCATTTTGTTTAGTGGGATTAACATATGCTCTCTGCAATATGCATTCCTGCATTTGTTAGCTCGATGACAGGTATATGGTGCTTTAATAAACATAAATAAGAATTTGCTTCTCTCAACAAAAAAAAAATCTGTCAGTGTAATTAGGAAAATGGGCAAATTTAGAGAACAGGAGGTTTCTATTTAAATACACATTTATGTTTCCAATAAGGCTGCCACTTGAGAATAGATTTGATCCTTATGGTAGTGTTACTGCATGCGATGGATACACCAGAAAGGGTTGATACTACGAAGAGGGCACATTCTGAAGCAGCACAGCTATTCTAGTAGGCTCGGATTAGCACTGCTAGAACTAGTGCACAGAAGAGGAAAGGGAGAAAAAGAAAATGACCCCCATAATGGGTGAATTTTATAATAATAATAATGAGCAGCAGATTAAAACAACCAAACCCAAATCGATTTTTTTTTTTTATCAACTTTTCGTGGTTCAGAGGCCACCCATTGGTTGAGTTTCGACTGATTGTGGAGTTTCGAACAGTGTATCTATTGCATCTCTGGGACAGGAAGTGAGACGGAAATGGCAAAAAATTATTCTCTACCATGTCCAAAACTTAAAAAAAGAGTTTGTCATATACATACACTTTAAACTTGGCATTACACCAACTGAGTTTCGGCTAGTTCTTGATGAACCAGCCAAAATTAGATCAGTGGGTGACTCTGTCTGCTGCCTCCTGTCCGACATCATGCAAATGAAAATAGCAAAGAGCTGGCAGAAAATTGTCGGCTAAACAGCTCCCGCAGTTATTCAAAATACAATATCCCACAACGGGATATTGCTCCATCCACACTCTTCAGCAAGGAAGGAGAATCGGATTTTATTCTATTTAGCCTGCAGGCTGAATAACAAAAATCTACGGATGCATGGCCAGCCTAAGCAGAGACTTCAAATCACAGAATAAGAACGTTTCTGGAAAGGTAGGGTTGCGGCCAAAAGTATGAGTTTCAGTCGGGTACACAGAGAAACTTTTGGTTATGGTAAGGGTTTTTTTTCTGTATTATCAGGTCTTTTCCATGATGATCCTTCCTTTGACCTATTCTCATGATCTTTAATATCTATTGATTTATTTAATCCTTCCTGCAAATGTGATAAAGGCCAAAGCTGCCAGCTCCTTCCTTGCCATGGATCCTTCTGTGCTTCCTAGAGCAATGTTTTCCATTACCATGAAAATCTGTGTTGTCCATTGGTCATGCATTATTTACATGGCAAGGTGGGTTAGTGGAAGACGGTGCTGAGAGTCTCAATTATGAAATATTCTAGAATAGGAAAATTGTGCTTCCACGCAGGAGATGCATCTTCTTTGCTCCATTCCTGGATTCTTACAGATGCCAGGAATGGTCCAACAGTGTACAGTGCACTGAAAATGTACCACAGGCAGTGTACACTATTTAAAATGTAGCAAGGAGTGGAGGGGAATGTTTTTTCATCTTTTGTTTCTTTTTTAAAGCACGAGACATGAAAAATTCGGATGGCCTTATTCCTGTGGCCATATTCTGTAGGATATAGATTTTCATGTTATGACCCACCATTACGGAGCCATCTCCATGTCATGTTTTCATCATCACGGCTAGGGCAATACATTTTGTGTGTGGTGCATCACAGATTAAAGCATTTTAGAAACCACCTTCCCAAGAAGTGGAAGTACTGTTAGGAATAGTCATAACTTTTTTTCTTTTTTACTGGTAGCGGTCTAGGACCTTACAGATCAGTAATAAGTTCAAAGGAATCATGGTAATCTCCCTTTAGAAAATCTATTGTTTGCAAAAAGAGGAGGGTCATGTTGGGCAGATAGATTCGTATCCAGGTTGGTTTCTGGCCTGCAGATAACAATGATAGTTCTTTGTTCTTTGTGCATTTTATTCCATAAAACATGGATTTAGGAGCTTTTGTTAAACAACAAGCATGGTTTTTGTAAAGCCATCTAAAACGGCTATAGTTTTCTTGAGTGAAAGTGATCGCAAATATTCACAAAAACACAACATAAGGCGGAGAGGGGCTCTTACTGCAAAGGTTACCAAGATGCTCAGAACTCCCAGTCTTGGTGTAAAATCTATACAGCAGTTATCAGTTGTATGAACATCTTGCTATGTAGCCCAAGCACAATAGTCTCCTGGTACAAGCAGACCTCCTCAGAGGTCAATGCATTTGAATGAATGTCTAGGCAGGGCCAAATTTCTGTTATTTGGATCCGTTGGCCATGCTGTGCGGCCTTTTTCTCTGCAGAGTTCTATACATTTCATATATTTTAAATAAGTGTATTTTACATGTTGTAATTTTTTTTTTTTTTTTTTTATGTAAATGTTTGAACAAGAAAGAAATGTAAGGGTATCGTGATATACGAGGCACTTTGTTATCCATTAAAGTTTTCTGTTACCCCCCCATCTTTTTATATTTGAAGACTACAAAAAGTTTATGCAATAGTCATTTGATCAATCGGTTTGCAGCTGTACACATTGCTCACTAACCCTGCAGTTAAATGCTTTTTTCCTTCTTATGCTGAGCTCAGGGCTGATATCCTTGAAATTGCTGGTTTTGTGTTGTGTTTCATTCAGGAAACAAACAGACGGAACGCGGGGCATTGCAACCACAAAACAAAGTGCAGTTCCTGTCACCACAGAACCTCGGTTAGTACGCATGGTCTTCAGGACACGTGCACGTCCGTTTGGTTTCAGTTTCGTGGCTATTTTGTGGTTTCCATCGTCGGTGTTAACATTTTATTTTGGGTGCTTATTTTAATTTCCATCCATTTTGTGTCAGTCCATGGTTCAGTTTTGGTGTTCGGAGGATACTGAATTAAAAGGTAGACTATACAGAAAAGAATACGAAAGAAACACAAATATACAAAATTACACAGTTAATAGTTTGTGGCATTTTACAAAACTTATGACAGAGGTGCAACCATGATGCTACGGTAAACTCCCCATTATCCGGCATTCAAGCAATGGTCACTCTAAAACAATCTGGTCTGTTCAGTGGGCGGGTACAATAGACAACCTGCTATTGGCTATTTTAATTTAAATTAAAGAATCGAAGGCTGGCTATTGCACCCGCCCACTGAGCAGAGAAGCATACCTGACAGAAATTTCTCTGTCAGGTCCACTCCTCTGCTCAGTAGGAGGGAACTATAACCAGCCTGCTCTTGCAATTTGAAATAGCCAATAGCAGGCTGGCTATTGTACCCACCCACTGAGTAGAAGAGCGGACCGGAGAGAGAACTTTGGCTGCTATTGCAATTTGAAATAGCCAATAGCAGTCAGGTTATTTCATCAGAATATGATGGTTTGTCTGGTTACATCACATTTTTATGTTGTGTACTTGTTTGCCTAAATATCTCCCTTGGTAATCGTGATCATTTTTATGAATTGTAATTGGTGTGTTTTGTGACTGTAGCTGTTTCTTTTTTTAGTATTCAGTATTATTTATTGGAGAAAATGTAAAGGGATTTTTTTTTTTACACATTGTAAATGTTTTATCACGTTCTGCTTAGATTGTTCTTGAACTGTTGTCTCCTTGGTCACACTTAAGTTTCTTGTTGGTTCTCATTTGTGATTGGCTGCCTAATCTGCTTTGCCACTTACCTGCCCCTAGGCATGAGCTCCTGTTTGCCCAGTAGCCTTTTTAAACCTGGATTGAGAGACCTAAATTCTGTGGGGAGAGGCAGATGCCCCCTCGCCAGCTGTTCTCATTGGAACTTGTATTGTTCCAAACCTTAATCCCCACCCTCCAAAATGTGACGTGGACAGCATCTACCTACACCATGCTCTTGCTCCCCTTTCTGTAGGAATAAGCACGAACTTTGAACAAAGTATTTATGACAGCGCTGTACTAGAGCAGGCCTTCTTAAACTTTCTCCACTCGTGACCCCTTTTTGGCTGGGGAAATTTTTACGTATAGAGAAAAGGAGAGGAGATTGTGTTCTGTAGTCCCGTCTTAGGGTGGCAATGCATACATACAGTATGAGGAGCAATATTGTGACCTTAGAACATGAAGTGTATAGCTGCCAGGATCACCGGGTGAAAATTATTTTAAAAAGAAAAATAATGCAGCTACCACATCTAAGCACTGGTAAGCACAGTCACAGGTTTCTCTAGCTGGATATAATTGCTTATATCAGGGTCCACCCTTGAGTCTCCCTATATCTAGTAAATTGACCACCTCTAAAGAAGTTAATGAAGGTAGAATCAGAGTTATAACCAGTGAGGAAAAAAAAAATTCTACTTCAATATCACTTTAAATTTTGTATTATAACAATTTTAGGAACCAAAATCATAAGTCTCTTAGCTGCTTAGTAATGCAATGCCATGAGCAGTGATGTGTAACATATAGTAGCCAGGGCTGTATTTCAACACTATGGTGCCCTAAGTACACCGGAGTAATGACACCCTTTTGTATACCCAAGGTGTCATGTGATTATTTTAGCAAGAGCTGCTTGTTAAGGCTCCATTCACACATAGCAATAGTGTTTTTCGTGTGAAAAACGAAACCACGCAAATGTTAACAAACGTGCGGATTCCACACGTTTGTGGCTATTACTATAGCTGGAACATGCGCCATAAAATCGCACCTGCACTCTTTTTGCGGGACCCCACAATAGACTGAACAATAAACATTGCAATGCATTTTTGTTATGTTTAGTGCAATTCAGTTGGCTGTTTGAATAGAGCCTAATAGAGTGCATGCTGACTCCTCACAACATCCCCTGCACTCCCTTATGCCTACAGTTCTCTCTGGATTTATCCATAGGTATGCAAAGGTGAGCAAAAGAAACATAGGAAAAAAAGTTATCCTAATTTATCAATTTTGAGCCTTAGTGCTACCCCCTTTAACCCTACTGCTCTAGGCACTGACCCATGAGTGCTATTATGGTAAATACAGCCCTCACAGTAGCAAATGTCAACCATTAAAACACCTAAAGGCCCACTAAAATCTAGGTGCTACTGGGTTCTGCACTTTACTCACGGTATCTGAACTATTTCATCTCCATGAAATATACACTGCAGTTGTCAGTGTGTCTGCATTTTTAAAGGAGAACTCTGAGGTGAATGTCACTCAACCTCATAGTTCGAGCTAACGTGCGACAATGAAACTCACACGATGGCTCCAATAGATCAGGAAGTGAGCGAACACATACCGTCGCTCCCTCACTTCTCGATCATGTCCCTGCAGAGAGCCGTGACTCATTCCCACTCCGATCCTCCAATGCTGACTTACGGACGGGGGAGGGGGCGGGTACAGCTGGCTCTGCCTCTAGATAGGCAGAGCCAGCTGTCAATCACGCAGCTGGGTGGATCTCCACAGTAATGTTGGGATCCGTCCCGGGTTGTGACGGTCTCCGTATACCGTGAGCTGTAGCTCGCGATATACTGAGCTTTGGGACACGGGAGGAGGCTGGTTTATGTCCTCCCGTGACCCTTAGGAGAACTATGGGGAAAAATGCTTACCATAGTTTGCTTTTGCATGCATTATACATTTTTGTTTTGGCCAATGAAGGTGAAATAAAGTATAGGTTGCAACAGGGTAGGGACTTGTTGTCATGCTCTAAAACACACAAAAATGCATGTTACGTGCATTTTTCATGCTCTCCCATTGAAGTCTGCGGGGCTAAAAACCCACCAAAAAAAAAAAAGCACCAACACTATTTTTAAAGTTGCATGAAAGCTCGTTGCATAGGTGTGGATGGGCCCCTATAGAAAATAAAGCATTCCCTTTTGTTGTGCATTGTCGCACACAACAACCAAAACACTTAAACTCACACAGGTGTGGATGAGGACTTATACCGGATTTTTTTGTTTATTGCTACTTCACGTACTTTGTAAAAGTGTCTTTTTCTATAAATTAGAATAAATGGTTTATGTTGGGCAGTTAAAATCTCCACTTTTGTTAAAGAAGAACTCTGGGTAAAAAAATGGTATTAACCCTTGCAGTGGGGCTACCTTCAAAAATAGCAAAGAAATACCCAATCTTCTGAGCCTCCTTGCTCTTAGACCAGCCCCTCCCGCCTCACTCCGCTACATCGGTCTAAAGTCCCAGAGTCATCGCGTTCTATACGGAGTGTATAGGATGTGAGGACGCCAAGAAACATACCCTTGCTGCAGTGGAGGAGGAAACGAGCAGGAGGGAACGCTGTTACATCCGGCCGGCTTGGAGGATAAGGTTGAGTATATCTTTGTAACCTAGACACAAACAAGCACATAACTTAACCCTGCAGTGTGTGGGTAACCTCACTGCAAGGGTTAATAGGAATTTTACCTGAAATTCTGCATTAAGAAAAAAAAGACTCCTCCCAGACCAATTGTATGCACTTCTAGGATTTTAGTAGACTTTGTTGCATATTTTTATCTACTTTTGTATTATGTAGAAACTGAAACAGGACATTGCATTAACTTTCTCAGAAGACTAACTGAGAGAATTTCTGTTATAATCACACAGCCCTCTATAAGAAAATACCTGCACATTGGCATCCCTTAAGAAGTGCAAACCACTGACTAAGAATGGGGATACCTAAAATTTTACTTGAAAGTGTATCTAAATTGTGGTCTTTGTCACTGCTGGAGGGATTAACCCTCTCCTTTTTCTGGTGACCATTGTCACTGCGACTTGAAGTAAGAATCCCAAATTTTAACTATTAACCAAAATGGAAATCGGGGGAAATCTTTCAATGGTAACTTTTCAGTGGGTATTTCTATCCCTTAGGATATGTTCTCACTTCCTGTTGGCTCTACAGTATAATAAAATTAAAGGGCATTGTTGGGATAGAAGTTTGTGAGGTACCATTTCTGATTTTGTATTTGAAGATGTCCGTTAGCTCTATTCTTGCTTTTCTACCAATAGTGACCCAGAAAAGCAACCTTTGGTGCCTTAATGCCGGATATGTACATTTTTATCTAGGTCAGTGACCTATGAAGCAGGGGAAGGATCAGGATGACAGCCATGATGTTTGCACCTTCAAAACTTCCAAGTCAGCAATGATCTCCCTCTGATTCCCATCTTGGCAGTTTCCTCTTTCAATAATAAAATAGTTTGTGTCCAAATTATATATGTTACTTGGTAAAAGCCGAGTGGAAGATGGTGACCTGATCAGTTTAGTTAAAAATGTACATTTGATTGGGTTGATTTTGCCGTTGAGAGTCCATTGTTGTTGGCTTTCATTAGCCAAACTATGCAGCTGGAAATCTTTACATGTTTTTCAGTGACTTGATGGCCTTTTTTCTTCTTCGTGTCTGACTACTTGTCTGCTGAACATTGTAAGGAACATGTCTGGATTTTGAGAATTTTTGGAAGTGCGAGAACAATACATATTTATATCTAAGAAACAAAACTTATTGTTTTGTTTTTGTATACATATACTACGTGCCTTTATGAATTTGATTAGAAGTTTAAGAAGTATACTGTGGACATGGAGTGTGTGTATAATATGTAAGCCAGATGGAGCCGGTCAGTTGAATCTGAGAGTCGGGGTGCTTGAAAAACATAGGCACCCACAGCAGTGTCAGCAGTGTCATTTCCAGCATACCTATTCCTGGTATTAATCTATAAGTTGATAATATATTGGCTTATTTATTACAGATTTAAAACTTTTAGATGGATCAAAACTGAGATTTAATGTCCTGTCATGAATTGGATGGATTTGTGTTTTGGTTGTTGTGTATATGTGATCTTTCTTTATTTCTTTTTTAATCTATGGTAAACTGACATGTTCTTGATGTGCTATTAAAGAGAACATAGCTCAAAAGCATCATACATTGCAGTACCTTACAGTCTAAAAGGATTACAGCTGTAAGTCAATCCGCAGGAATAAAAAGCCAGTTCTGCCAAATGTGTCTACCCATGATTATATTTAATGGAAAATACCAATGTTGTTGGTATAAACTGCCTCATTCTGGCCCCAAAACAAATGTTTCTGCACCAGACAGTTGGGTGGTGGCCACAACAGATATTTAAATTTATCAGACTGGGTTTTGTGCATGTTTAGTAGTCTACTTTGGGTATTTTCGGATGTAGCTCATTGGCTGTGTAAAGATATAGAATTGACTTGTTTGTCACATATATTTTCGCCCTATGAAAGCATACAGCATCCTCTTACAGGATTGGCATGCACTCATGTGTAGCATTTTTTACTCTTTAGACTCTGCAATACAAAATGATCCATTCAGTACATTTTTGTGCCCATCTTTTAAAAATATTATCTTGAACTTAAAAATTGAACTCCTCCTAATTTCAATGGAAACTGAATAATTAAGCTTAAGCTTTACAATGATAGAAATAGTTTAATCTAGAATGACCTTGCAGTATGAGGTCAAGGTCCATTATAACTGGTCTATCAACAAAAGGCCATGTTGGTGACTCCAATTCTGGTGCTCAAACAAGTATGACTTCCTCCATGTTGGTGCTAATTCAGTGAACAAATCCTTCAAACTAACATAGCCTAGAACATTCAGTCTGAGAATAACTAATCCTCCTAGTACTAAATATGGCCTCAGTTCACCTGTTGCTCTCTCCTCCCATTTTATGCTTATGTAACCTTTTCTCATACTGTTTTTTTTTCTTTTACTTACCTTATACTAACTTGTTTCTCACAACCTTCTTTCACCTGCCTGTTTCGCCCCAAACTGTGCATGTCAGACCTCTTCTCTTTGGGGTTTGAGCTTCCTTCTCGCTATGATTCAGGTGCCTCACTCTTTCCTTTCCAGGTTCTTCCACTTCTTTTAACATGCCAAACTCTGGAGATTTGTTCATGAACGTGCAGTCTCTCAATGGAGATTCTTACCAAGGTGCCCAAGTTGGAGCCAACGTACAGTCACAGGTAGGGATCGTCCGATGATTTGCCAATTGGAAAAGCCATTGGTCACATGCTCATGAGAGTAGGATGGTGGTAGTCATATGCTTATGTATATGGATAGTCTTGGACATGTCCACACAAATTGAGAAAATGGTTGGCTGACTGGTCAGGGCTTTCACATTCTCTTCACTGGTCTTGGATTTCACTGACTGGCTCCTGAATTGACTATTTGTCCACTCCAAGAGAAAATTATTAGTTTTATGACCGTAAAAACTGCTTGCCTCATATGCACGGTGAAGGTGGTGGTAGTGTTGTTGTTGTCATTATAAACGGATATTGTTAGTTGCATGGCCAATATTGATAGGTTGTTGGTCACATCATCAGTAGCGGAGGAAGTTTGTGGGTCATTTATAGACCGGGCAACCGTTATTAATGTACTCACAGTTGCAATGTCATTTTTTTCTTGCCTTGGTTGCCGAGTTCAGTTTTTCACATTTGTTGTTACGTTGTTGGCATTTGTTGTGCAAGAGATGGCACACCCTCAAGAGTGCTTAAACCATAGCTTTGCATGCAGGGAGTGTATTTGGAAAATATGATTGAGCTTACTGAAGTGTGAAATGGTATATTAGTATTTGGCCCTTTTTCTGTGCCCAGAGCATCGTCAGCTTGTGTAGTAGCTGCAAAGTTTGTTTTGCATTGGTAAGTAGTGCACTATGATGGCAAATCTCATCACCCTTTCTAAAGCATAAAAAGAACCTGTTTTATTTCAAGTTGTTAGACACCACCTAGAGCCTCATTGAAGGCACGTAAATGATGTGCTTTAACGCTTTCTCCTGGGTGTTGTAGTTGAAACACAGTTAAACTTAAATGCCCCGTTAAAGATGATCTTTTTCCTGTCTCCATGTTCTATCCATTGCATCTCTTCCCTGAATTCTGCTCTTGGAAATTTGTTTTTCTCATTCCTCATATGAAATATGAACAATCATCTATAGAGCTTGAATAGTGATTAATGCAAGCTTATTGCAACTATCTAAAATTTTCTGAGATAATGCCCTTGTCCTTTTTACAGGCCCTTCGTACCTAATAGTTTGTCATTATGATGTTGTGAAGACCCTAACAATGGTGCATTGATGGGGGAAAAAATAAGAATTGCATATGGGGGAAAAATAGTTGTAATTCAATTTCATCAACGCTAAAGGAGGTTGATGTTGAGACGTTATCCAGTTCTGAGATTTCACAGCTCTGCCACCCCACACAGCCCTCTCTGGAAGGGGAGGGGACCTGAATTTTCTCTGTGGCTGTTCAGTGTCAGTGACACTTACAGGTCTCCTCCAATCTGTGTCTGGACAGTTAAAGGAGAAGTAACAGACTGATGAGATCATCTCTGTCACTCTGATTTCTCCTCTTATCAGCATGCTCCTTGCACTGCAGCACAACTGAGTGGTTCCTTGTTCTGCTTCTTCCTCTCCTCTCTGAGTTCTGCTGTACAGGGACTGCAAGAGGCTGACACCAAGTTAGATTCAGGCACTTACACTGCTTGCAGTTATATATAATATATATTTTGACCTATTCACCTTATATATATTTTGTGTGTGTATGTGTGTGTATATATAATAACAAAGTGGAAGCAACGGGGAACAGCAACTCAGCCACAAAGTGGTAGGCCATGTAAAATGACAGCGGGGACAGCGCACGCTGAAGCGCGGCGAGTCAATAGCTACAGATCTCCAAACTTCATGTGGCCTTCAGATTGGCACAACAACAGTGCGTAGAGAGCTTCATGGAATGTGTTGAGCAGCTGCATCCAAGCCTTACAACACTGAGTGCAATGCAAAGCGTCGGATGCAGTGGTGTAAAGCACACCGCCACTGGACTCTAAGGAAGTGGAGACGTGTTCTCTGGAGTGACGAATCACGCTTCTGTCTGGCAATCTGATGGACGTGTCTGGGTTTGGCGGTTGCCAGGAGAACAGTACTTGCCTGCCTGCATTGTGCCAAGTGTAAAGTTTGGTGGAGGGGGGATTATGGTGTGGGGTTGTTTTTCAGGGGTTGGGCTTGGCCCCTTAGTTCTAGTGGAGGGAACTCTTAAGGCATCAGCATACCAAGACATTTTGGACAATTTCATGCTCCCAACTTTGTGGGAACAGTTTGGGGATGGCCCCTTCCTGTTCCAACAGTGCACAAAGCGAGGTCCAGAAAGACATGGGCGAGCGAGTTTGGGGTGGAGGAACTTGACTGGCCTGCACAGAGTCCTGACCTCAACTCAATAGAACACCTTTGGAATGAATTGGAGCGGACACTGCGAGCCAGTCCTTCTCGTCCAACATCAGTACCTGACCTCACAAATGTGCTTCTGGAAGAATGGTTAAACATTCCCATGGACACACTGCTAAACTTTGTGGACACCTTCCCAGAAGAGTTGTAGCTGTTATATCTGCACAGGGTGGGCCAACTCAATACTGAACTATACCGGACTAAGACTGGGACGCCATTAAAGTGCATGTGGGTGTAAAGGCAGGCGTCTCAATACTTTTGGTAATATAGTGTAGGACGAGGTCACACTTTTGCGTTGCATTAATGCACATTAACACACATTACACGTGTTAGTGCATTGTGGTGCCCTTTATTTCAAATGGTGCCCAAACGTGACTTAACGCAACGCCCAAATACAACGTGTGAATGGGCCCTTAACGATGTAATATTAATACAGAGCTGCATTATTTGTGCATTTTATATCTGCCTAGAGTTCTGTAAAGGAACTTAAAAAAAAAACGTCAGTATTATATATTCCTTATGGCAAACAAGATGAGTTATTTTTCTCTGCATCTAGACCTAGATCATTCATTACCCATAACAGAGAACGCCATTATGCAGTGTGTTCCTAAGCACTTTATAGAGTTCTATAAAACATAGGTCAGTGGGGCTCATTGAACCTTATGGAGAAAACACTGGGCATTGTTCATCAGCCATTAGAGTGAACAATTAATGGAAAGTAATAGGAGTTTTGACTAATGCTCTGTTTAGTGTTCCTTCAATGATCGCTGTTGGCTGAGCTGCAGGAAAACTGCTATGAATAATAATGGTGATTTCAGTCAAAGTGGTGGCTGCTGTAGGCTGCTGAAGGTTAACTTTATTTGTTCCATTATTATAATTCATGATTTTTATCCCTTTCTCTTCCATGTTTCCGTATGCTAGATGCACATGTTTTTTCCATTGTATACGTTTTACCTTACCATTAACTTCCAGGCTATATTTGCTGTGTTATTTGTACTTCAATGTCATTTATTTTACTTTCTTCCCTTTAATGCTTTCTCCTTTATCTATGAGGCTTTAACTATTGTCTTCCCTGCTATCGACCCAAAGTTATTTATGCCTCAAAGCATCCCTCACCTTGTTTTGTTTTACTGTAATGTGCATCTATTGTGTGCATCGTTCTCATCATCCTCTGTATGTTATATTTCTGATTTGAGGTCTTGCTGTCTCTCCTCCTGTGGCGGTCTTTGTCCCCGTCTGTATTATGACTCCTAACCTTACCCCCTATTGAAGAACTCTGTCCTCACCATTATTACGGTCTGTCTTCCAGGTGGATACCCTTCGCCATGTTATCAGTCAGACAGGCGGATACAGTGAGACTCTGACAGCAAATCAGATGTACAGTCCGCAGGGCATCAGTGTAAGCAAAGAAACCTCTTGTTTCCTCTGTTTTTTTTTCCCCCCAATTATTTCAGGTCCACGGGGCCTCGGCTGCCACATTGCACACACTCCTCTCCCTTTCATGGCCACCTATTTTGCTTTGTGCCGGTGACGCCAGCGGCCAGCGCTCTACCAACAAATGATGCTCCATGCAGGCAGCTGGAGCCCAAGCCTGTCACTGACAATCAGCTTCCTTGTGCCACCTGCGGCCACTTACAGTCAGCTGAGGGAAACAGCCAAACAGGTGACACATAGCGTGGCCACAGCAGTGCGAGCATGGAATCCATCTGGGTTAACCCATTTAATGTCGCTCCAAGTGTATGAATGGATTCATTACAGTAACACTTGCTTGGCCCAATGTCACATTTTTACTATGACCTAGTGCGTTTCATACAATGATGTGTATTCTTTTTATATATCGCGTACACAGGTTGTGCACGGACGATATATATGTTATTTTCTGTAACCTATTCCACAGCACATCTATGTAGCTGCTCTGCAGCCGCACATACTTACATGGAAGTATTTGTGTGTTTTTGTTGGAGGGCGACAGAAAGGAGCAAATATTCCTGGCAGTGCTCGCGGCTGGGAATGACATGTAAATTCATAGCGACAAGCCGTGTCGTATGGAGTGAAATCAATAAGACAGACACAGGGAGAGCGGCTGCAGATTTGGGACAGCAATCCAAATACATTTCTCAGATCAGCCATCCACCATCCAAAGGCCGTGACAGAGGGAGGGAGGAGGGGGAGATCTGACATAAACACAGAAATAACACAAGATGCACACAATGCCGCGGGAGGAGAAAGCCGCATGTTTACATAGGTAGACCGTTATTTTTATTATTTTCACTCTTGTGTTTGGTAAAGGAGAGCTATATGTAAATGAAGGATACACGTGATGCACATGGACAAATGTGCAAAGTGACAGAAATCCCTTTCGATTAGAGTTTGTGAGGCGGCCTTCTCAATGAGCAATTTTCTACGTCGTGTTAATTAAACGTTGATTGAGATTTTAGCTGATTTACATCTAAGGTTCCATAAAATGACTACCATCATTACAAAAAATGCTTCAGAAAATGAGATTCTCAGCTTTTTGCTATGGAGAGGCAATTAGCTTTCATTTACCTTTCATTTAGATGTGCATGTATTAATGAGCATGCACAGTGGTTTTAAAGGCCAAGTCCACCTGAAATGATGTCATGCATGGATTTTATAGCTGAAACCCCTTTATTTATACAAAGAACAGTAATGTACCATACCAGCCAGTCAAATATCTGGTTTAAGCAGCTAAATGAAGGGGATGCTAATGAGGGCTGATTTCTGGCTGGCTTCTGCACATCATGGCGCATGTTATATGCCAGCAAAGTTTATATTCTTCCCTTACAACTTTTGTGTATTATAGGGTATCTAAACCCAAGAATGGAAATGTTATATGCTGCAGCTTACTACTCCTTAGATGTGGAGAATGCCTTATTTGTGTGTTTTCCAGGCTCTTGTTTTTAAATTATTATTAATCTGATGATCCTGATAGTAACACACTTCCTGTCCTAGGGTGACACTCACTGTACTAGGCAGCCTTGTCGCCCTAGGCTGATCTCCTGATTTGGCCTTAAATACCCCCCTGTCCTCATTGCCAAAACATAGGAGGGGGGAAGTGTTATGTAATTCACAGAAGACAACTAGGGAGAGCCAGTTTATTTGAAATGTGTACCTAGCCTAATAAAAACACTAATGCGGCCACCACCTTTAATTTAAGGGCTGGTGAGCTGCAATATATTACATTTTGGTTTTTGGGCATAGACACACTTTAAATTTTATAAACTATGTAGAACTAAGCTGAACTATGGATAGTGTTCTTCCATGATATAAAAACGTAATTGTAGATGAAAGAATTGTATGCAAGACATGCTTTCTGTCACCTCCCAGGGTGTTTCCACTGTTGGGAGCATGATGGGGGTTTTCCCCCATCAAAGAATCTTATTTTATCTTTGTTCATCCCTGCCTCAGCAAGATGAATAGAAAGCGGGATGAAAATATACAACCCATCAGATTGCTAAGGATCCCAACACCTCCTATAGGTTGAACCCTCTATAGGTTGAACTCGAGGGACTTGTCTTTTTTCAACCTGACTAGCTATGTAGCTATGTAACCTTTCCCATATAGTCCACTGATACAGTCCTTCACACTCTGTCCTTAGGGAGGTTATCATACAATTGCCTGCTCCATCTAAAGCAGGGACGGATGTGAACAATTTAGTGGTCCCAAAATAGTGGTGCCATATGAAGGTATAAAGAAAACGTTCAATCTGGAATGCTGCTGGCAGTTAGTGTAGTTTACAGGAAGCCGCTGTGAATTGATGTAATATTTGATGGCACTGAGAATAAGAATTCTCGTATGTAATGTGTACATTAAAATGGCTGGATTGATTGATTTTGTTAAAGTATGATCTAGTATGGAAAGGCTTAAAAATGGATCTCTTAGTAATGTTATATTTTGCATGAATACAATCACGGCTTGTCAATATACAGAAACATTTTAATATTTCAAAAAAGTTCCATCACTGAAATGCAATCCTTGAGCTCCAGTCAAGTGATTGGGCTGCTGCAGGCAGGAGATCAGTCTGTCTCCTCTCCCCTTGTGATCAGACTGTACATTGTAACTCTGTAGCAACTCAACAATGTGATCTGCTCCAGCAGAGACTGATCTGTGTTATACATTTGTAAACACCTCTAAGAACTGCACAGATACCAGGATTTACAAGATTGTGTCATCTCTGAGCCATCATACCAATCCAAAAAGTGGATGCTGACTCTGACTGATGTAGGAAGAAAGATGGCACAGTTAAAGTAGATGAAGGCTTTGTCAGCGGAAGTACTATGATCTCTGTGGGATGAAAAGTACCAAAAAGCATCCACATAACGTAAAAAAATATATCTGATGCATGGTACATCTTAACATACAGTTGAAATACAGTAAACTCTGTTTGGTATTCAACTAACCAGAACTCTCATCTAACCAGAAAAAAAAAATCCCCGGTGCTCTTACTGTTATGCTGATCTGCGGCATGTATTATCCCGGAAATGATTGTCTATTTGTCCTAATTTGCTTTTGATTACTGCATTTCAATATTAATATAAAGTCAATACAGAGTTTATGATATGGTATAGTACGGGTTATGGCATAAGACCTATTTTTAATAGTAACTCTCAAGCAAACAGAAACTACATTTATCTGGAATCTACCAATCCCCCTGGATGCCGGATAACGGGGAGTTTACTGTACATGCATGTAAACGGCCTAGGTTGCCAAAGGATTTGTAATTCTGTTAAGCTAGTGTTTTGATCCACCAATGCAGGTTTCATAGCTTGCAAAGTGCTAAGCTGTCCATACACATATAGATTTTCTGCAGATTTTCTATGGTCAGTTGGAAAAAGTGCAACAGATTCCTCCATCTATGCTAAACTATGTGGATGGAGGAATCTCCCACTGGGCCAAGCTTCATTCTCTTGCTAGTCGGCCCCGCTGGTTCTCAAAATACCTGAACAATCTGATTGGATGCAGGTGTTCTATCAAAGATTGTGACTGGGTGGGAATGTGGGACTGGTTACGTGGACACACATTTTAACATAACCCCGCCCACTTTCCGGCGGTGGAATATGTGACCGGCAGAAGGTGAAGAATTCCAACACTTTCTCAGCTGTTCCAGGGCAGATCTGCATCGCAGATGGTATGTGCAGGAGAACCGATCTGCCATGGAACAGCTGATCGGTCCTGAAATGTGACTTTGTGAGTGCGATCTCACATTCCACAAAGCAGGATAGAAGTGAGATTTCAGGACCGATCAGCTGTTCCAGGGCAGATCGGTTCTCCTGCACATACCATCTACGATGCAGATCTGCCCTGGAACAGTCACATATTGCACAGCTAAATAAAGTGGGCGGGATTACGTTACAATGTGTGACCACGTCGCCGGTCACACACTCTAACGCAGTCACAAACTTTGATAGAACACCGGCATTGTTCACGTGTTTTAAGAGCCAGCGGGGCCGACTAGCAAGGTACTGAAGCTTGGCCTTGTGGGAGATTCCTCCATCCACACAGTTTAGCGTAGATGGAGGAATCTGTTGCACTTTTTCCATCTGACCATAGAAAATGTGCAGATAATCTATAGGTATATGGCCAGCTTTAGAGTGACGGCACTGCTGCCCCTCCTTCCTCTGATCTTGCTGTGCATGAGTGTAGGAAAATAATATAAAGATAAGCATGACATCTCTGGAGCATGCACATTCAAAATCAAGTCAGCAGTGGCATCTGCCATATTTCAGTTCTGGCAGGTTCTTTGTCATGCGTAAGCCAGATGCTGTTATGAAAAGCAGACCCTGCAAAGCATGGAATCGGCTATGTTTTCTAAAATTATAAATGACCTATAATAACTTTCAATGCTTTTGACTAGTCGCTCCATCCCTTGCATCCCCAGTGCGCTCTTTGTTTGTTCACAATGACCCCACATAACATGAAGTGTCATTTGTGTGCATTAAAGAGACGCTAAAGGGAAAGAAACAGATGATCCTGTGACATGGCAATTACAGTTGTGAGAGAGATGGGACGCAAGAGAGGAGGGGACAAGGCCAGGCCACTGTGATTATAGAGAGTGGCCGCTACTAAATGATAGGCTGGGAAATAAGAGGTTGCCAGGTTCTTCACAGAGGTGGATCCAGAAATTCAGTCAGTGTCCTTGAATCAAGAAATGTACAGCAGTAAGAAGAGACCTCACCTTTTCATATAGCTGCAACAGAATTACAGAGCAAAGCTGAATATGTTGTGTAGTCCCTGCAGACAGCTGTGAGAAACAGAAAAGGTGAGACATAGAAAGCAGCCAATACTGACTTTGATAGGTCAGAATATTATTTATTTTTTCTTTTACGCCTATAAGAACCAATACACAATTTTGGTTGCAAACCACTAAAGCTTTTTCTTTACGTCTTTTTCTTTTTTTGTCATGGTAAAGAAAAACTGTAATGGTCTTAGTTCCATTCTATTGTACTTAAAATATTTGAATGGTACACTATTTTATAGTACTAAGGTCCTGTTAGGCTGGCCTTATATAATTCAAACCTTAGATGGAGCCATCCAGGGGATTAGCTACTGCTATGGAAAATTTAAGTGAATGTGCCAATTTGGGCTTGAGTTATTGAGCTCTGTAAAACATTTGGCTTTTTAAAGCAAAGGAGCAAAAGAGAAAACGCGAAAGAGCCAAGAGCTCCACCTGCTGTCTGAAGACTAAATATTCATATGCAATATTTCTTATTTACCTGTTTGAAAATGATTTAAGAAAAGTTGTGAACATAATAAAGGAAATATGGAGAAATCTTTACATTCCTAATAAGCAAAATAATAGTTCTGAAAACTAAAGCATATTAAATGGTAAGTCCTGTAATTACGAATATGTTAAGATGGGTGGAGGCTGGTGGGCCGTATCACCCCCCTACCTCATCTAGCTCTTAGAGTCTGAGCAACAGAATCTTCCATCAATAGTTCTCAGCTCTGAACGCGTGAGCCTTGTAGTCATATGCCCCTCATTGCACTGGGAAACTCCTTCCTCTCTCCTGCATAATGGGGAAAAAGAGACTCCAACACTGACTTTTTCAATTGGTGATTAATCTCACTAGAATATCTGTAAACTGAAAACAGTATTTCCTGAACTGATTGATAGGACAGGATAGAAATTCGGGTGCCGACTGTTTTAAAGGTGCAGTCACAAGGGCTGCCGTTCTTGTTTCAGGTCAGTGTCATGCTAGGTAGCAAAGCCAGGATCAGAATGACAGCCTTCCATATTTCTGTCATTAAAGCGGACCTTTACACTCAAAAATCATATTCTACCAATGCATCCCTCTATGTATGATGATAAATAATAACATAGACATGCCAGGTGTAAAATGCTGTGATAATGAAATACTTACAGAGCATTCGCTTCATGCTTTGAAAGGGCAAAATTACCAGTTTGGCAAAGCAATGCACACTCGGATTGCCTTGTGATCAGCAGAGCATTGCTGGGAAATCTCATCTGTAAACTCACCAGATCTCAGGGAAAGGCATTTTCTCCCCTGAGATGATGTGCATGGTCACATGTCCTAGTCACATGTGCCAGTAATCCAGGAAGTAATAGGAGAGCTAGTAATCCGCCCTTATAAACATGGCTACTGTCAGAAGCCTGGGGAAGAAAAGAGAAATAAGGTATGCAAAGAATACAAAGACGGCAATGATCTAGAAGTATGTGTTTGTAGATTGTCATTACTAAACATTTCTAAAGGTGCCGTTATTTGCTGTTATTTTAAAGATAAGAGTAAAGGTCCACTTTAAGGGTTCCTTTTAAGCTTAACTTCATTACCAAGTGCGTTATTATTAAGCTTTTGTGACCATTGTAAGGGATCATGTAGGCAGGTTTCGTTTTAAGTTAGGTGTAGCTTTCCTTTGTTTATTATACAGGATTTATATACAGCCAACAGTTTGCACAGTTCTTTACACAATGGAGGGAGACAGTGCAATACAATTTCAATACAGGAGAGTTAGGAGGTCCTGTTCATAAAAGCTTACAATCTATTAGGAGGTTTATAGTTTGGTTCCTCAGGTTTTCATATTCCCTTTGACTTCAACGGGGTAGTGTAGATGACTGTTAATCGGCTGCGCTTGACCGGCTTTGTGTTGTGTTTGGATGCATCTGATCCTATTGCGTTCATTTGAATGGCAAGGAAAGCAGGTCAGATGCTGCATTTTGCCGTTGAATACATGCATTTTGATTTAACACCGTGTTTGCATGGAAACGGCTGCATTGTTAAGAACACCCTTCTATATGAGCCCTTACAATTTATTTACTGTTATAAAGAGTGTTTTACTAGCTAGATGAATAGGGCTTGGGTAATAATCATTCAGCATTCCCTCTTTACAGCAACAAGCTCAGAGAAATCTTTTTTATAGCAGAACTTTGTTAAGCTAACATGGTTCATCTGGTTAGCAGTGTCTAGATGACAGTGATCACCACTGAGCAGCAGATGTCCTCAGCTCCCAGACATTTAAGTATGTAAGCAGAAGTAGTGTTTATTACTCTTTCATTGTGCACAAGGCTATCTGCCGAAGTAAAATGTCTCTTCTCTGCATACGGGGGTACAGGTACTCATAAAAATATCAGAGATCACACAGGGACTTGTGTACACACCTACACATGCACAATCGCACACATACACACAAAGGTTGAACTTGATGGACCTGTGTCTTTATTCAACCTTAAATACTTTGCACAATGCCTAACCTTAAAATTTACAAAGTACAGCTTTGCCATGTTTATCGCTTTGGTCCACAGCTGTGTACATTACCTACCATAACTAAAATTTGTAAAGCAATATTTATGATTTTATGTTGGCCCCTTATAGTGCTGGGGCCCATGTTTTGGATGTATTCATTTGGGGCTGTTGGCTAGCAAGCACACTTATGACTTGATTTGCATCAAACGGCAGCCTTTCTGGTACCTTGTAGTGTTGTCAATTTCCTAATCCTGTGGTAGGCAACCTGAGCACTACAGCTGTTGTGGAACTACAAATCCCATGAAATATTGCAAGACTGACAGCCACAGATCTGACCCCCATAGGCAGAGGCATGATGTGATTTTTAATTTCACCACAGCTGGTGGGCCGGGGTTGCCTACCCTGGTGCTAAACCATTCTTGTTTGAATATAGAGCTCCAGACAAAAGTTTATTTCTGTCTTGGAGTGTAAAAGGGTTAGAACTTCTGTCGGATTTTCATTCCACTCTGTCTCTGTGGAGGGTTTACCTCATATTTTTCCAGGACAGGGGTTATCTTCTGTCGGCACATATACAGCATTGAAAATCACTAACAAGAACACAAGGATTAGAACCTCTGTAAGATTCTGAACTAAAAAAGGAAATAAATTGTCTGGAGTTAAACACACAGAAATACAAGATCGTCTGAACACACATGAATTTTGATAACTGTATATTGTATTGTATAATCAAAATTAATTTCCTTGATGTCCTATTGAAAGACTAAAGTATTGTTTTGTTTCATCTTGCAGGCTAACGGAGGGTGGCAGGATGCAGCCACTCCTTCATCTGTGACTTCCCCTACGGAAGGACCTGGCAGTGTCCACTCTGATACCTCCAACTGAGCAGCCGGCTCCTGAATTTTCACTCTTGAAAGCCAGATTCCATCCCTTCCCTCTCACTCCAGATGGCCACTGTGGGAATGCAGCAAACACAATGACCTCTTTTGGCATACCCATTGGCAGCTCCCCCACCCCTTCATTTTTAATCACCACCACTCCTCCTTTTATGTCAATGATTCACTTTTGTATAGCCCACACCCATAATTGATTTTCCACATTATAGGGATAGAGAGTTTTGTGTGAGTAGCAGATGACTACCAGTACATATCAATCAATACTAAATAACAAACTCATTTAAATATGGCTGTAGCTGTGAACAGAAACAGCCATATTTAAAAGTTAGTATAATGTCTAAAAATAATTGATATTTATAAAGACTGTGCTGTTTTTTAATTTTCATTTGGCTTATACTGCACCCCTCATATACATTTAAGATGTAGCTAAGGGCCAAAAATGCATCTTGTGAACATCTTAGTCTAACATTGCTTCTACTGCAGTCATTCTCCCCTCTGAATCTTTGGACTGAGCCATGGATATTGCTATACCGTTGACCTCTGTTTTTCTGCACAATACTCGATCCATTTAAATGTGCCTGGTGTCTTCTCTTCTGAAGGAACCCTGTTTGCCCCTCAGCAAGTAGCCCTGAGAAACCATTATTCCTGTTCTCGCTAGGTAGACCATCACAAGGGAATGCTTGACAAACACTAAAATTTGACCAGGCCTGATGGTTGCTGGATGTACTGCTGGTAAAATAATTTCCCTGTATCTGCAGACCTTATTTCTACTTTGGGTATGGATGGTTCTGTTCTTCAGACATTGGTTTGTCCTACAAGAAGCCCAGCACAGCTAAGTCATCAGTACAGATTTCTGTAGTCCCCGCCACCAAGCTACAGCTTTGTCCACTGTAACTGCCTTCAGAATTGAACTGCTACATTTTCTCGAAGACTTCCGTAACACGGCTCCAAGTACACCACCGCTATCGTATCAGGCCTTTACGTGTACTCCACACCATGTTCTGTAATATCACCATGCTGCTTCACCAACCAACTCTACACGTACCAGTTCCCAATTTAGCATCAAGTATCTCTTTCCAGAAAGCTTGCTTTATTTCCAGACCAATTCTGTTTCCGTCCAGACCACAGTTCTTCATTACAACTCCGGATCCACTAAGATTGGCCACCTGCAACTCACTTTTTCCAAACTTTCTTTCCATCTCATGCGTTCAAATTTAGTTGAAGGAATAGAACCATACAGTGTTGTTGCATTTATCAGACATCATTATGTCATTGAATATTCTCATTGTCTGGCAAGATCTCTAAAGACACCCACATGCGGTGTCCCAAATCAACGTTTGATACCAAAAATCCGCATGTACTCGCACAGAGGAAAGACGGACAAAGAGGGAAGTGCTCAGCTTTATTAACATTCACTGCGGTTTCACATAACTTGTGTATCGTCGATTGTTATATTTCAGATAAACATTTGATGCTGGATGTTCTTGTATATTCTGAAGAAAACAAAAAGACACAAGATAAAAAAAAGACATGAAACAGCCAAAAATTGTCCTGGGTTTAATAATGTTTATTACTAAAAGGAGATAAAAAAAAATATGAAAAAAATTGTCCTGTTGCAGAGATCACACCCGTTTAGCATGGAAATAGGTTGCTGATTTCTATTTTATGTCTTTCATATTTCTTGCTTAGTTTTAACACGAAAGAAAAAACAAAACTACCTACATGTGATTTATTTTATTCTTTTTAACACCGCGCGTTTGTGAGTTATAATGCAATGCTAGATAAATGTAGTTGGGCACCTTTTTAGTTTTTCCTTTTTATTTTTTTTTATTTTCTAAAGGATGGGGAATGTGGGCGGGAACAGGGTTTTGGGCAAATTTGAAGTGGTGACACGGGGGAAGGGTATGGGTATTTTCCCAATAACCCCTTTACAGCTAGGGGAATTGGTGATATATATTCTGTATTTTCCCTCTGGCAGAAATGGGGTTAATGAAGCAGTCACAATGATTCTGCAATATAAACCCACTTTTTGTACACTAAAGTAAAAAAATAAATAAAAAAAAGGATGAAAAATGTTGGAAAAAAGTTGGAATAGTTAAACAATAATAGGTACATCATAAAATGTACATTTAATAACTTTTCTGAGAACCAGAAATAAATTCCTTTTTTTTTTCCTGTTTTCAGCTCGTATTTGTTTCAAAACACATTGGATAACTTTATCTAAAGCCATTTATATGTTAAAGCCCAACTGTATCTTCCACAAAAAAAAAGTTAAACTGGGTGCTAAAAATGTGAATTCTACCGTCTTGATTTTATTTTTTATAGCTTGTAAATAATCTAACCACATGTTGGAAAGTCTTTGGTTAGGCACAACTGCTGCTTTTTTTTTTTAACTGTGGTCTGATATGCCCCTTGCTGATTTAAGGGCTAGTGCTCTCCAATCGGCAAAGGTGACACTTTCTGCCTGATTGCTTAGCTTTACCTTTGATTCAGCGGGGGACTTATCAGACCGCTGCTTCTACACAAAGTGTAGCAGTCCTGTCTGCAGCTTCCTACCCAGCCACAGATTTTGCAACAGGTGTTTAGATTATTTATGATCTGCGACAAAATGAGGATTTCACAGAATTCATGCAGCACTATGAGTATATAATGTTTGTGGAAGTTGGGCTTTAAAGAGTTATATAAAGACTGGTAGTCTAGCAAAGTCTAAATACAATGAATCAATATACTGTATGAAACATTGAAGAACTGCCTGTGACGTTGCTGTTAAGCAGTGAAAATTTAAATGTGAAAAAACTATTAAATTGTTTAAAAAAGTTCCAAATGTGCAAGCTTTCAGAGCACCAAAACCTCTCTTCTGGAAAATGTTTCCTGAATGAGGACTTTCATTTTTTTTTTTTTTTAGAAATGGCTGTTTAATAGTATCTTACATTCTGCTTGCGTTGTTTATAACAATGGCTAACCTAGTTTGCTTTTTTTGAATGTATGATGCCCATAACAACCAGTCAAAATCCTATTTTCCTTTCATTTTTATGTACTTGTTGATTTCTGAAATCTAATTTGCACACACGCTTTTGAATTCAAGTATGGCATTAATAGTGTTCAATTTGAGACTGGAAAGAAAAAATATTCTAAGATGAGCCTGCTTGGATCTTAAAACATTGCTAGAATTGTCATTCTAGGTGTGCCCCAGATCCACAAATGGAACAAATTCTTACCTCTGTCTAAACATTCATATTAATGTAATATTTACACAGTATAGTGTCCATACACATCGGTTTGTGATCGATCCAGGTATTAGCATCACAAACGCGCATCCATCGAAACACGCAACATCGTATTTTCAATTGATATTCTATATCCGAAACAATCAATTGAAAGTGATCATCTAATCTATTTGTATTACAATCTGTTGACGCGCGCACACACGTATATTAATTGATGTTCGATAAAATTCCACTACAGCTGATCAACTTGCGAGCATTAAATTCTTCCAAAAGCTCACTTAATCAAATTAAGGGTCTTTGGTTTACGATTCGTATTACCGTACATTTGATCAGTTGATCATAGCAATACATGTGTGTACATCTTTACATAAAAAAAAAAAAGTACAGATTTACACTTGTTTAGGAAAAATTATGTTCCACAACTCTGCAGCAACAATGCATCAGAAAGTACATTACCAATGCTATGACAGATAAGGGTATCTTTCATCCTTTTAATCCGTGTCTTATACAACATAAAATGTTGTTGTGCAGCGTTTTTAGGTTTATATGAGAAGTCTGCTTTGAAGTGTATGTAAAGCCAACATTTTTTTTAGTTTTGAATAGAGTGAGAACGTGTTAAATCCCTGTAAATTTGTGTTTGTTTTGATCCTTTGCAAACATTTTATTTTAGAAGCATTATACATTCACTGGCACCTGAGAGCTGCCATAATACTTTTACATTTTTTCAAAGACTGCTAATGTCCTTTGAAATGTCGCCAGAGGGAGGCAACTTGCAGTGAAATGAGCATTACATTTAGCCCCCATATTTCATATTTACTTTAGACCAGCCCTGTCTGCATAGTAACTTGTGGTACGACCCTACCATTGCTTTCTGTTCGTTCAGGTAGACTGCTGACTTTCTTACTGACATTTTATGACTAATTTCTTGGACGGGTGCTAGTCACCCTGATTCGAAAATAATATTGCGAAATTACCAGCGATTTGTGGTAAGCAACAGCTGGTGGTGCTGGAGCTTATATTGTCTTGCAGAAAGTTCTATATGCAGTCCAGATGATGCAGAACATTGTAGAAAATATGGCATAGGTTATTGCTTGTAAATAGGGATTATTGTGCAATTTGCAAATTTGACCCCTATCTCGACCAAGTGAACTTTGCTTTAAAGCTGTATTTTAGGATTAACCCTCAATGCCCCTTTCCTCTACAATTTATCCATCTTTATGTACAGTAAGAGCCCATTAACATCAGTGCATTGCAGTAACATAGAGTAAAAAAAAAAATCATTTTTTAACATGAATTGCCATAACTCATGAGAATCAATGAGCCGCTTAATGCAATGCACGTTCACATGCAAATGCTGCATGTGGCCAAAAGAGAGGATGGTTGCATGAGGTGCGCCTGTTTCCATTGAATGTGACATAGGACTCCTTACAACCCTCTACCTGTCAGCCATAGCTAGAGGAGATCACAGAGATGAAAACCGTGCTTTTTCTAGCCACAGCAATACTATTTTTTTCTGATCCTTTGAGAATCCTGTGTGGTTGAAAGGTACAGCAGTATTAGACTTCTGATTGGTAATTTGCATATCTTGCCCATCAAAGGCAATGAGTGCCATTAGCTAGGGTGAGCCATAAATTGTATCCACACACTACAGGCAGCACTGATGTAAAGACATCAGCAAAGCCTTGCCGGAACTACAAAGGGCAACAGGATTGGTCACCCTGCTCAAAGAGGCAAATCTGCGGAGACTGGTCTTTTTTACTGGGACCTGCTCTCCTGTGGCATTGAGCTAAACAATTCTGAGGATAAAATATGGCCGGTTGCAAAATAGTTACATATAAATCTATGATACGGTAAGGCACTGCTTTGGTGTTTTAGAGTATCTTAGTGCTGAACGGAGTTTAGCTTTAACAATGCACTAAGTTTATATTTTATCTGCTACATAATGCAATAATATATTTAATTGTAATTCCTGCCTAGATACTGTGGTCCGGTAGCTGCATTAAACTAACTGGGGAAAAAAATATATATATCAGGGATGCACCGATACTGGTTTTCCGATACCGGTGCTTCCACTGGCATGGAGACCACTTACCAGGCAATCGGGCAGCAGGTAAAGACATGCCGTCAAGCTTCCTGATTGCCCGGGAATCCGGCTGCATGTTGTTCGTCTTGCTCGATGCCGATTGCCTGGGAAACCAACTCCAACTAATGCTTTGTTGAAGCACCTTTTGATTTTATGACTTTAGGGGTCGGAATCTATTAGCATATCACATCTTTCCTTGGAAATCTTTGCTCACTTTTCCTCGCAAAAGTGCTCCAAACCTGTCGGATTGCGAAGGCATGTCCTGTGCACAGCCCTCTTCAGGTCACGCCACATATTTTCAATTGGATTCAGGTCAAGGGCTCTGGCTGGGCCATTCCGAAATTTTAATCATCTTCTGCGGAAGCCATTCTTTTGTCGATTTTGGAGGTATGCTTTGAGTTGTCATGCTGAAAGGTGAAATTCCTCTTCAGCTTTTTATCAGAGGCCTGAAGGTTTTGTTCTAAAATGAACTTGTATTTGGAACTGTTCCTCCACTGTGCGATCCCTTAGATGCTTTGTAAGCTCTTTGCAGACCATGGTTTTTGCTGTACGAGGCAACTGAGTAAATGACATAAAAGTCCTACTAGGACAGCTAAACGTTATATGGGCTTAATCAGAGTCACTTTAATCGATGGCAGGTGTGTACTGACTATTATTTAACATCAGCTTGAACGTGATTGGTTAATTCTGAACGCATCCACATACCAAATTATAAGAGGGTGTATACACTTTTTATATCCGGTGTGTATATAAAATATTTTATATATATAAACTCCCCGGCCACTTTATTAGGTGCACCTTGCTAGTACTGGGTTGGACCCCCTTTTGCTTTCAGATTTGTCTTAATTCTTTGTGGCATAGATTCAACAAGGTGTTGGAAACATTCCTCAGATTGTGGTCCATAGTGACATGATAGCATCACGCAAATGTTGCAGATTTGTCGGCTGCACATCCATGATGCGAATCTCCTGTTTCACAACATTCCAAAGGTGCTGTATTGGATTGAGATATGGTGATTGTGGAGGCCATTGGAGTACAGTGAACTCATTGTAATGTTCAGGAAACCAGTTTCAGATAATGTGATCTTTGTGACATGGTGCATTATCTTTTTCAGCAATATGAGCTACAGGAGTTCTTATAGCAGATTAAACTACACAAGCCAGCCTTGGCTCCCCACGTGCATCACTGAGCCCTGGCCACCAATGACCCTGTTGCCAGTTCACTGGTTTTCCTGACTGAACCACTTTTGCTAGGTCCTGACATGTGCAGACATGGAACGTCCCACAAGAGCTGCAGTTTTCAAGTTGCCCAGTTGTCTAGCCATCATAATTTGCCCCTTGTCAAAGTCGCTCAAATCCTTATACTTGCTGTTTTCCAGGTGCCAGTTTTAGTTTGGCAT